CCGCCGCCGCCGTCGTCCAAGAAGTCGTTCTCTCAGCTGAGCACAAGAAAATCCGCGACGCCGTCGAAAATCACAGACGCGACATCAAGTACACCTTGCACAACCTTTTGCGCACAGGACTCGCCCCCGTCTTCCCTGAAGCCCTCTGGAAGAAAATCCTCCTTGATCAAGTCGTCGACTTCGACGAGATCAACGCTTTCTTCTTCTCCACCAAACTCGACCTCGACCCCACTCCAGTCAGTACGGTCGAATCGGCACTTCACAAAGCCTTGGGACGAAGCGCGGAGAAGAAGACTGTTAGTTCGTCAGTCGTCTGGTTTAGATGCTTTGATAAGTATGTCAAGGCAGTCGAGACAATCTTCCCTTACCGGACGAACGAACTCCGAGCCTGGCGAGAGCACATCGACGACCTCTTCACGTCCAAGGTCGAAGATTCCCATGCCCGAGTCATTGCGTACGACATCGCCGCTCGCAAAGTTATCGGGTCGAACCCAGCCATCCTCTTCAATCAGTACAACGCCCCCGAGATCACAAAACTCCAGCGAGCTTTCCTCGACAGAGACGGCGTTCGGTACAATGATATTGGAGGCACAGGTGGGAGCGCAAAATCTGCGAGAACAAAATTGGCAAAGAAGCGAGAGCGAGAGATCTGCAACAACTGGAACGAGGGGAAGTGCTTCCGTAGCGCTTGTTCCAGACGCCATGTCTGCAGCTCCTGCGAAGGACCGCATGTCGTCACCTTGTGTAAACCGAAAAGCAGCTGAGTCCTCGACTAGCTCTTCCTTCGTGGCAAGCCTGTGGCACGCGGCGCGTCATTTCGCAGGTGGAGGAGGGGAAGATGAGGAAATAGAAGACATTGAAGAGAGTCGTGTGGAGGATGAAAAAGAGAGTGGCTTCGGATCCTTCCTGCCACGCTACCTGAGGGGTTTCGGATGGAGGAACGCGGCCCCGCAAGGCAGTCGAACGGCGTGGTTCACGGAAGTAGACGAACCTCTTCTGCACCCACCTGAAAAAGAGTACCATCATGTAGCTATGAAAACTATCCATGAAAATCCTCACCTTTTCCACGTTTCCACTCCGATCAATATAGATCGTTTCGCGAGCGCTCTAGCCATACATCCGAATCGAGCGTTCGTCGCCTCCGTCGTTCGAACGTTGAAAATCGGGTTATGGCCATGGGCCGACACGAATCCATCGAGCGATTTTCCAGAAACGTGGGACAACGCGTGGGCAAAGATCCCGTCAACTGAGGAGAGTCAGTTTATTGCGGCGCAATGCATAGAAGAAGTAGACAAGGGTCAACACTCACCAGCGTTCGGCCCACACCTACTTCCAGGCATGTACAGCACGCCCAATATTGCTGTTCCCAAACCTCACTCAGACGATCTCCGCCTCGTCGCGAATCAATCTGCGGGAGAATATTGTCAAAACAACATGGTGGACAAGTCTCAAACGAAGGGCGCACGTTTGGACTCTCTCCTCGTTTTCATCCCGTTACTTTTGATGTTCTCCAGCTTGCATCCTGGCAAGAGATTACTCCTCTGGAAGGCCGACGTGATGGGCGCGTTTCGAACGATACCCGTTCATCCGTTGTGGCAGTTGAAGCAGGTTGTAACGTCCATGGTGGGAGAAAGCAAGACAGACAAGACCGCATGGTTGCGTTACGTGGACTGGCGTGCCTGTTTCGGAAGTCGCGCTTCTCCGAGAGCATGGGCGTCGGTGATGGGTCTTGTCGTGTGGATAGCGATATGTCTTCTGAACATGGTCTTCCTTTGCTGTTATGTTGACGACTGCTACAGCGTAGGCTTAGTCGACGACATGACATGGTACGATCCGTACGAGCAATTCTATCCGACGGATCAAGTCCGACTTCTTCGACTGTGGGATTGGCTCGGCATTCCCCACAAAGCGAAGAAGCAAGTTTGGGGAGAAGTTCTCGTCATCATCGGCTTCCTCGTTGATCCGAACGCTATGACAGCGACTCTTCCGGATGATTCAAAGTCTGACCTCATCCGTCACGTACACCAATTCGCACACGTTGCCCGTCGACGCCAGACGCTCCACGACTTCGAGCAGTTGACCGGTTGGATAAACTGGTCGCTGAACGTCTATCCTCTACTCAAGCCCGCGTTATCGAACATATACGCCAAAATGTCTGGAAAAGAACGCTCGCATGCACCAATTTACCTTAACAAGGCGATCGTTCAAGATTTGGCATGGTTTGAAGAGCATGTTGAGGCTTCGTCTGGCATGTTCTTCTTCGCTAATCTTGACTGGAATCCCTTCACAGAGGCGAACATGGTGATCTTCTGTGACGCGTCTCTGACAGGCATGGGTTTTTGGGTACCGGAGATGGACCTCGGTTTCACGTGCGCTGTTGCGGGTGACTTGATGCGAGACAAGATCTTCTTTTGGGAGGCGCTCTGTGTTCTCGGCGCGCTCGTCTGGTACGAGCAGTCGAACCTCGCCTTCTTTGCCACACCTGAGTGCCCAGCTCGCTTAACTATTTTTACTGATAACACGAATACAGTCAACATCTTTGACACCCTCCGCGCGCTACCGGATTACAACCCTATCCTCAAAGCAGCGGTCGATATTCGTATTCGGTCAAATATTGACCTACGCGTCGTGCACGTCTCTGGCGAACTGAACACTGTAGCGGACGCCCTCTCTCGCGACTACCTTGACGTCGCGCAGTCTCTCGTGCCGAACTTATACATCGACACATTTAAACCCCCTCGACTTACGCTGGGGGCAACGAAAAAATGAAGATCGTCCAATTGCGGACGCCGAGGCAACCGCGTAGGGAACCTTGGTCCCGCGAACGGCTTCTCCATGAGAGAGCCATTGCACTAGGACTTGCCATCGACATCTCCACCAGTGCGACTTACGACTCCCACTTGAACTCTTATCTCAACTTCTGCACTCTGCATCACTTCCCCGTCGAACCAACACCCGACACTCTATCATTCTACGTTGTCTACATGTGCGCGAACATCAAGCCACGCTCCGTCGCATCCTACTTAACCGGGATTTGCAATAAACTCGAACCATATTTCCCCGGTGTCAGCGCGAACCGAAAATCAATCTTAGTAGCGCGATCTTTGTCAGGTTGCATGAAGAGGTACGGAACTCCAATCCAGAGGAAACTCCCTCTAGCCCGACAGCACATTCTTTCCACCATCAATGACCTTCCGCCGAACGCTTCCCACGACAGTTTGCTCTTCGCCGCGATGCTGACAACGGGTTTCATGGCTTTACTCCGTCTTGGCGAAATGTCGCTCCCGGACAACGTCGTGATCCGTGACCTGCGCAAGTGTTCGCGCCGGTCCACAGTGACGTGGTTCGATGACGGGTATGGCTTCGACCTACCATATCACAAGGCAGACCGGTTCTTCGAGGGCAACAAGATACGGATCATCCGTCGTGGCGATTTCAATCCCGCTCCCGTCTTTCGCCGCTACATCGTCTCGCGTGACAAGATTTCGCGCCTGAATCCTTTCCTTTGGGTGACGGCAAAGAACGAGATCCCGACGCGAACTTGGTTCATGAAGCGTCTTCGACGCCTTGAGCCAGACGAACAATTTGCTGGCCAATCGATGCGAGCTGGAGGAGCGACAGCGATGGCCGAGGACGGATGCGCCCCCCACCTCATTCAGGCTGCGGGACGCTGGGCTTCAAACACCTTCCAGATTTATATCAGGAAGAACCCCGTTCTCCTACAGGCACTACTCTTCAACCGAACCCAACAATGATTGATATCATCTTCCGACTCATTTATTAGCCATTTTTACGAACATCAATCATACTCGCGGCCGCCGCGGTGGCGGTCGGCTTTTTGGCTACCGTGTCCCCCGACAGGTTCATCAGATTGGTCGAGATTAATCTTTTGATTACTCAAGGCCAATATGAGGTACGCCATTTCGCTTTCCATGCTCACAGCATCCTCACCAACAGTACTCATTACAGATCCTTCGGATCTAAAATGCTGTACTTATGGTTCGTTACCCACCGGGTCGCAAAATGAACCAGGTGAGACTCTTCTGCCTTCGGGACGTTATCCTCGCTTACAGCGAGACTTTGACGTGGTCAGCTCTCAGCGCCACATCTTTCTCTTAGGTCGATCGTTGATTTCCATACCTGGCGGGCAGCTTAGGTATGCAGCCGAGGATGTCTCGCATCCCTCAGCTCTTACTGTGCCCCGCCAGGTGCGTTCTTGTATTTTTTCTCTTAGGCTCAGTCTCTTACTGTTTCACGCCAGTATTGTATTCTCGTCGCCCGCCCGTTTGTATTTGTATCCTCATACTTGTACCACCGGACGAACATCAATCATACTCGCGGCCGCCGCGGTGGCGGTCGGCTTTTTGGCTACCGTGTCCCCCGACAGGTTCATCAGATTGGAACACGCTGTCCTGATGGAATGGCAACGACCCAGGTTACCACTACCCCATTAATGCATACATGCTTGCGTGGTACACGAATCTACACCCTTCTTCATGTCAATACAAGTGTGCCGTTTGTTTGAGTAGTTCGGGGCGAAGTACCTTTACATCTCGGGGGCACCTAGGTGTCGGGATCGGATTACAGCTGTTCCAAATGTTATCGGGCAGGTTCAGGTAGGAGCAACCTGCTCGGGTGAACGGGCCAGGTCAGAGATGATCGGGATACAGCATCGGTGCGGTGAGAGGAGGTTTGCTGTGATTTATTGATTTGGAGAGGTGTCGTTTCGCCTTCTATGTGTCTTCCATATACGGGTTGTCTCAATTGACCCAGTTCAAACACTTTGGGCGATCCTGTCCAGATTAAGGCATGTACGCCTGCTCGTGTTTCACCTTCCGATCTGTTGCGATTGCTCGGGTTTCGTGTACGTAGCATCTCCTTTACTCGCAATCAGTAGAGAGTAAGTATACCATCTAAAGTAACAGCACGTTAATATTCTCCCCTGGATGGTTAGAGTATACAATAGACACTGAGATTTGAGTGGTCCTGCACTGAGACATGCATTAATGGGGTAGTGGTAACCTGGGTCGTTGCCATGGACTTGGGAGCATTGGTCTCAACCCGCCGGGGGTTCAATTCCCCCTTAATGCATGCCGCAGCCGTTGTCTTTTTTTTGCGCTTTTCATCCTTGACATTGGACACTTGCAGTCCGCGACTTTGACGGGCGGCAGTGTATTCTGTCTAGCACTTTTCATACAATAACGGACGCAGGAGGCGGCAGTGTCTGGGGTCCCGTGTCTGTATGCCGAGACCCCGGGTAGCGGCTATTGTGGTGGTTGGCTTTGGACGACCATCAGGACGATTCGGATTAGATCTCGCACGACAGGCTGGTGGATCGCGCTTGGACTACGGCAGGACTTTATAGGGGCATATACAGACGATGGCAAAGACGCGGCCAAAGAGGTCTACGCGGAGCAGCGGGAACAAGGTGCGTTATTAGGCGCTGGATTGTGGGAGATGTGTACGCTGATGCTGTGCTAGCTGGTGACGGACCCGCTGTCCTCGACGCCGCTCCTGACGTCGCAGCTGCGGTCGCTGGGGCTGTACGCGGCGCCGACGCTGGGGGATGGGAATTGCCTGTTCCGGGCGCTTAGTGATCAGTATTACGGGAGCGAGGGGATGCATGGAAAGGTGCGCCCGTTGTGCTGTTTAGCGCCCCGCCCCCCGTTAGACTCTGTGTTGGAAAGGTGCGGCAAGATATCTGCGACTGGATCGACGCGCACCGGGAGCGCTATGAGGGCTTTGTGGATGTGGACGAGTTTGGCAAGGGCGGCATGGATGGGTATTTGAGGGGTATGAGGCAGAATGGTATGTCTTGTCGTCTCAAATTAGCCTTGACTGAGGAGAGGACACAGCGACGTACGGCGGACACATGGAGCTATCGGCGTTTGCGCATCTGACGCAGCGGCACGTCAAGGTCATACAACCGGGACTCGTCTATGTCATCTCACCCCAGCCTGTCGTCAAGGAGGAAGAGAAGGAGGCTGGTTTAGAGGAGGATCCGGAGCCGAGGAGGAGTAGTAGAAGGAGGGGCGCGGAGAAGAAGGAGAAGGAGAAAGTGAAAGTGAAGCTGGAGGAAGAGGACGGGCCGTTGCTGTTTGAACAGACGGAGGCGGAGAGCGGGCCGACGCTGTATGTGGCGTACCACGACTGGGAGCACTTTTCGAGCATCCGCAATCTGCGCGGGCCGCATGCGGGGCTGCCTTGTGTTGTCGAGTCCCCTGGGCCTGCGCCTGGAGAGGACTTGCCGCCTGATTACGGTATGTCTTTTCTCGTCGTTCTGATTGTTATTAACGCGTGTTGTAGGGGTATCGAAGAATGCGAAAAAGCGGCAGGTTAAAGCCGCGTCGACAAAGAAACCGAGGATCACAAAGATCAGGCTCAAGCTGCCAGAGCCCGAGTCGTCGGTCCCACCATCGTCCGTCCCTCCATCCTCACAGGCTTCCTCATTAGCCCCAAGCTCATCCTCCTCCTCATCATCTTCTCCGTACTCCTCATCTACATCTTCATCCTCCCCTCTTACACCCATCCCGTCTTCATCCAAACCGACCCCGCCATCTTCTCCATCACCTACGCCGTCCTCACGGGCTACTCCCGCACCGCGTTCCTCCTCCGCTGCACGCGCCGTACCCGAAGAGCGGTGGGAGCGCTCCCCCAAACGGACCCTCGTCGAGGGCGAAGAAGGCGAAGAGCGGAAACGCCGACGTCTGCGCGAGGCATGTCTTGATCTCGACGCCGAGCTGAGCGAGTTGAGCGAGGAAGAAGAGGAGACGCCGTCCCTCTCCCCCGACTCCCCCGGGCGCGCCTCTTCCTCATCCTCTTCCTCGTCCTCGCCGGAGCCCCAGCCAAAGTTGACGCGACGCCAGCGCAAGAAGCTCGGTCTGCCGAAACAGTACAAGCTCAAGAGTCCGCCCCCGAGAGGGACGGGTGCGGGCGTCATACGTATACCGGGGGGGAGGCATCCGAGCCAGGTGAGCGTGCGCGTCAAGCAGGAGGAGATGGACGGCGAGGGCGAGTGGACCACCAATGGCGCTGGGAGGGTCGATGTCAGGGGCTTTAGGGAGTTGAAGATTTAGCATACTTACGACGCACTCATCATGACCCCGGTATATATATATATATGTGCATACTTATTTATTCAATTGTTTGACGCGCTCCAGATTGAAGGCATCAACGAAAGTACATCTCATATGGAAACTAGAAAAACCCGCGCCACGAAATAGAAAACATGCTCTCAATCCCCGCCAATCAGAGACTTTGGAAACAAGGCAAAAGATACGGGGAGAGATACAATCAAGCAGATGACAGGAATCCTGCACGATAGAGGAAAATCGTTGCCTAGGGTGGTGCAGTAAACCTTAGGTTTTGATACACCTCAGGTTTACTGCGGTTATTAACGGTATTGATACAGTATTGAAACTGTCGGGGGTTGGGAGGTAGGTTTCGATACCGGCACGTGATCGCTTCACGTGACGGCGCGCTGGCCTTCAGAGAAGCTGAGAGTGGCGGGATGAGGGCGGCGCACCGCTGCGCCACATCACGTGGTCACAATCACGTGCTGGTATCGAAACCGTTAGAAACGGTTTCAAAACTAAGGCCTCCCGGGGGGTCGGTATCAATACCGTTACTAACACCCCCCGGAGGTTTACTGCACCACCCTATCGTTGCCACAGTAGGAAAGGAATAAAGCCGGCCAAGCCAGGAACAAAAAGACATAGAGACCACCACTGGGTGACATGCATTAAGGGGGAATCGAACCCCCGGCGGGTCGAGAGAAGCACTCTTTCATGGATGGCAACGACCCAGGTTACCACTACCCCATTAATGCGACAACTCTAGGATGTGTACGGCCCATCGGTGAAAACTACGACAGTTCTCGTTGGTGCGCTAACGCTTCCTGTCCTTCGTCAGCCAGCTACCTTAGCCTAACCGCGGATTATCATCTTCCTTTTCATAACCTGCGCCGAATCTAGGTTGCGAGATTTGAAGCTCGTTACAGGGAAGGCGTGTGACGACAGCAGATAAATTGATGTCGCTACAGAGATTGATTCGCGATTGTACAGGAGTTGGCGCGAATGAAGATGCGGAATGCCACAAGAGTTTCCCGGTCCGACTCTCGCCCCACATTATGAATCTGAATTTACCCCTGATCGACCATTTTTCTCTTGCTTTCATCGCATGAACGCTCCTTATGCAAAACCCCACATGACAGAGTGTGGCGTAGTGAAGAACGTGAGGGACGTGGAGGGAGCTCTTTTTGAGTGTGCCAAAGCTGCCGTCATACCCGATGCTTTCACCACCGAACTGGGGGTTGTCATTCCCTTTCCGCGAGGCAAGTTTTCAAAGGCGAGGAAGAAGCGTGGGTGTCGCTTGGTGTCGTGCAGAGGCCGCGGTTTGAGAAGGCGGATCCGAAGAGGTGGGTGAGGGAGGATGTGTATAAGGGGGTTTTGTGTTATTGAAGGATGGCCAGCGAAGGGGTATACTGTACTAACACGACCGTAAGTTCACGGCATGTTATGTGTTATGGTTGTGAACCAACTGACCACTAGTTCATTCAGGGTCTATAGTCCATATCGGGAGTGGCGGGAGGCGGCGGCAACAGCCGCCGCGACGAAAATTTCCGCATTTGGGCGGATCCCGACAAATTTTTCGGCCGTTAAGCGTTATGGAACCCAGTTCACAGCGCCCTGTGACGCTTTATGTGAACTAACGGTCGCGTTAGTACAGTACGTGCACAGTACTGTAGCAAAATCCTCGAGGCGGTGAAGAACCTGATTGAGCTACCTGCCAGTTCCGAAAGTGCGCATTAATGGGGTAGTGGCAACCTGGGTCGTTGCCATCAAAAAAATATAGTCGATTCCGTGCTTCTTCGACCCGCCGGGGGTTCGATTCCCCCTTAATGCATGACGGATGCGGTTTTCCAGTTCTTTTTGCGTTTTTCATCCTTGACATTACTGAGTCTATACATCCTTTCGTTCCTCGGTATGATCGGTGTGTCCACCCCTACGCGGTGGGCACTCACGACAACCTATCGTTCACGGCTACGCATTCACGGAACGCGATTCGTGGGCTAAAGTGCGTTCTGCACATTCGTACTCGCACGACTTCAAACTTGATCCGAGTCGAAGAGCAAGATTCTCAGGAGCCAAGACGCTATTTCAAAACTAGCGCTGCGAACCAGCTTGCTCTTGAGCCTGCGCGGAGCCGAGTCGAACCCAGGTCAAGAACGTTGCTCGAAATATGATGTACAGATTCATGTAACACGTATCGAGTTCGAATTCCGAAAACACTCGGGCCGATAATCAGTTGTACATCGCGCAGGCGGGCAACACGAGTGCAGTGGTAACTTGATAGCACAGCAGAAGCCTAAAAATATAACCCAGCGGCAACGTGGAGGTGTAGCTATTGTCCTCCTCGCTCCCGCCATGTGTGTGTCCAAGGATACCGTCGATTATCTTTATCCGATGGTCATCGATGACGGAGCTGGGGAAGATACCTAGGCACCCGAATGATAAGAACTGCTTATTTATTTGCATTTCCTCCGTCCCTGCAATCACCATCGCATCACCGAACGAAGAAAGCGTCATTTCAAAAGGAACTATTAGCTAGTTGTACAACACGGTGACGGTTATGCTTCTTTCCCTTCCTTCCTTCCTCCTAGACAGTAGCAATACAAATGGCCGTGTACAGCGATTAACGAGAATGATGAGATACGATGAGCGGGGAAAATCAGAAATTCGAAATTAGCGACGGAGCGTGGGTATCGGTGGTGGTGGTGGTGGGGTAGAATCATCAACGAGGAGGGGGAGCAAGCTAGAAGACACACGAAATTTAGAATCAGAAACACCGATGGAAACAGAAACAGCGTACCTCGACCTCAGTTGAATTCTACTTTGTAACAGGCGGCCTGAATGGGCAAGCCGGCTCGTGATCACCGCGCCAGCCACAATGGCAGCATTGGGGACCGCTGTTGGTAGCGTTCACCGGCGTGGTCAAGGCGGCAGCATCATCGTCGCGCGTGTTATGATGATGATGATGGTGAAGGCAGTCGGCACCCATAGTAGTAGTAGTGTGGTGAATAAGTGCGATGGGAATCGAATGCAGGGTGTGGCCATGATGCGCGCGCTTTTATACCAGCAGTTTACGGCAGACGCCAGAACCAGACCCTTGCAGATAAAAACCGCGAAAGGAGGATGTACCGGAGGAAGCCGGACTTTGAGACCCTGATTAGCAACGTGAGCCCAGGCGGTGCGATATCGAGGAAAGACCCAGGCGGGAGGTGGGGGAAGCCTGTTTGAAGCGGACAAATAAATGTACACAGCCATCGGCAGTTCCCTTGCAACGTCAACGAGGGCTGGGAATTAGTTGCTGTTTTTCGACAGCTGGTCCCATGTCGGTCTCCAGTCTATACTGTTATCTGACCTTGTCAGGAGACCGGCTGGCGCGCTTTCCTCTGCGGATTGTTTCCCTCTCGTCCGCAGTACCGAGCGCTCACTATGCACGTGGACGGACTCGCCAAGAAATAAGTATAGAATCACGCCGCCGTCGCTGAGGAGATTGACTAGGTTAACCTCCACTAGGAAGTTCTTCCTGCAGAGAAGGGCTTCTCGTGATCAGCAAGCTACAGAACTTCATGCGCGATCCTTCCAGACTCTTACGCCTACAATAGATGTACCCTTCGCTCGGCGTCCACACTGTTGGCGGTCGTACTCAAGTCTGTCATAACCTGGACTCGGTGGAATGAACGACCCTCTACGTATGGAGGTAGGTAGGACGTTTCGGCGTTTCCCTGCCGCGCTAGACTTCATTCGTACCTCACCATGACATCAGCACGTCTCGTCCGAGGCTCTGCATTGAATCACAGGCCTACACTTGAAACTGTTGCCGACATAATAATCATGCAAGTGACTGAATTGAAGTTGTACGGACGTCGAACGGCATGCAGTACAATGCCTACCAGCTCCTCGTTCATCATGTCGCTTGAGGTCCTCGCAAACGCCCCCGCAACGACGCACCCAATTTTAGAGGTGGCGACCAGCCAAATACGTCTCTCTTCCAACCTAACCTTGAACTGACGTCGCCTATGATTTCAACATCCCCGAAGGTGCCGAAGAAGAAGAAGAAGACGAGGCTCCGCCGCGAACATAATGATCAGGTAAGTGGCTCAATACTACCTCCGGTGCCAGCTTCTCGCAACGAGGACCTCGTGCAGAACGCGGTACAGTGAGTCCATTATTCAAGCTCATTACTACCACGTCTAGCGCAAGGGTCCAGCCCATCCGGCACTCACGCAAAATTTATTATATGCCCAAGTCTAGCCGGTCCCTCTGTACCCAAGCACCGTCATGCCCGCGTCATCCACTACTATCACCCACTTTTCTCCGCCGCCTCTGCTTCTCTTCCTCCAGTAATCAAGGCTAAATGTCTTCTAGTATTCAGCGCTGACGGCCGGATTAAGCCTTGCTGGATCCTCACCGACCTCGAGGGTGGCGCCGGCCATTCGCTCACTCCTCATCCGCGGTATGTGGGCCTAGTTCAGTGTTCAATTTAGGATGAGTCTTACTCGACTCGTTTGCGTTCGTGAAGGAGGCCTAGTCTTGGTATCCTCACTCCGGAAACACGTGTGCCGCGGGTGTAAGGTGGGTTGACTGAGCTGTCCGATTGACGTTGTAGCAACGTCACGTACCGTAGATTACATAGAGGCGCTCACTTGCTGGCTTAGCGCTTTAGGATGATGTTAGGAAGTGTGCCAGTGTGACGCGAATGAACAGCTTAAAGCTCAATGTGGAGTTGTTAGAAGGAAAGTCTGGCTTGAATCCTAATCCCCTCCCCAGTCACATCGAGCAAAAGCGACTACCGGATTCCGACTGTTACTTTGAGGCTTCTCAGCGGTGTGGTCTGTTGTACGTATACTTAACACGCTGTCTCTCAAGTTTTAACAGGTCGTTCACGATACGTCGACGGAATTACTGTAGCGTTTCGACCGTAACTTCACAGCCTGTGACCCGTTATGGTCTGAAGTTACAGCAAACAGCTTCATAGACCCTTAAATTGCCTTATTTGGACAGTTCCACTTATGGTGGGACCTGAAATTTCCTTATTTGGAGGCTCGTGCCTGGCCAAAGTGGTCCGTGACCCATTATGGTGTATATATAGCTTCACTTCAAAGACCTCCGTGACCCGTTATGTGAATTTGCGGTCGAAACGCTACAGTAGTACAACTTTGGCGTGCTCCACGCGTCTTTCAGCTGCTCAAAACGCGTCTGACTCGTCTTCCGATTGACATTCAGTGTCAACGCCAATGTTGAATATTTAATGTATGAGTAGAGTAAATGGATTCCGAAGAACAGAAAATACAAGACAAGACAGATACAGTCGATTTCATTGCAGGTATTGGCCATAACACTGACCAGATGGCAGCATCTGAATCTGGTCTGAATCGCCTTTTGTAAGTCTCGTCATCGTGTGAATGCCACAGGACTTACTCCAACTCAGCCTGGACAACTTCTATGGCAACGGTACTCGACATGCTGATATCGGAGAAAGAGGACCGCCGACTCTTCCAGGCAAACGACGCCTCGAGGAGTTTGACTAGACACTTGACACATATACCACACCACTCCTCCCGTTGTTTGAGTCATTCTTTCAAGTTACATATATAATATGCCAGGTCTAGATTCTAGAATAGAGGTCCCACATCTCCTACTTATATATATCCAGACGCGCCTTCCTCTCTTCAGCACCGTTACGGATATACCTGAGAAGATCAGTTAGCGCCTCAATGAAGTAGATGATGCCCTCAGAAAACCGACCTTATCGACTTGTTTTCAAACCCAGGAGCAGCCGTGCTGACCACTTCGGGTATGGAAGAATGTTTTAACAACCGCGACGTTTCCATGAACCTCGCCTCTCGTAACGGCACACCCACCCGACTATCGGTGGCCGTCCCAAGCAGATAAAACGCCAAAAAGAATAAGACAAGCCCACACAGGACCGTCACCGCCGCCTTCCATTGTACTATCTGCAGTCTTGCCTTCGTCTCAAGACGGTCGTATGCCGCGGTGGTCGCGAGCGATGCAGCGAAGTCATCAGATCTCGGAGAACATTGCGGATACGACCACCCATATTTGAATGGGGAATCGCATTGCTGCCAGACGTTCCACAGGTAGCTGGCCGTCATGTTCGCCAGGGTGTTTTCGAAGTAAGTGAGATCCTGATTGTCTAGAAGAATCATGGTGATGACAGCGGACATGACGTCCCGGTCCTGAGACTGTGTGTTGTTGCTCATGTCTACGTAGCACGGCGCGGGTACGAACATCTCCAGAAACTCGTTCGCGAGGAAATCATATCCGTCGTGAGGATTGATAGGCAAGAAGTCGTCCCACTCGTGCACCTTGGAAGGCTGGGTACGCGAATAACTTTCGGGCACCAGCAATCCGGATTGTGCGACGGCCAGAGTAGACTGTGTCGTCTGGAGGGTGCACCCAACGGCTTGGAAATGCCACGTTTCGCTATTGGCTACGCAGTCGGTGTGCTGGCGCATGTAGTCGACACACTCTGCCGAGTATTTATCCAGATTGTTATCACCGCACACGTTCAAACAAGCGTCGGTGGAATCGAGGGTGGTGAGGTTCACGGACGCGACGGACCCGGACGAGTCGTGAAGAAGAAGAGTGATGTTAGGTGCCGCCAAGACGAACAGTACTTGGTTGGAAATAGCTTTGAACCCTGTGTCGTCTGGCCACCACTCGTCGTAGGTCCAGTTCTGCATCAACATGTGTACGCCCAGGGTAATGTCCCGGTCGAAGGTTATGGGCGCAAGGGTAGAAATGTTGACATATGAGGAGTTCGGCGTTCCATATGGAGGCCTGTTATGCATCTCGGCGTAAGGGTACGCGGCATTG